TGAGCATACGTTGTTTATTGAAATTCTTCTGTGTTTTCCAATTCTTTTTGATAGAGTGACTCTGTATACTCCTTCTATCTTCTTTTATTATTTCATGGATCATTCCATATTCTACCCATAACGTCTGCAAGTATTGCAACTGAAGGCTTGAATTTGTTCTTTAGTTCCTTCATCTTAAGAAATGCCAACCAAGTACAATCCTTTTGAGTTTTGAACTCTAGTTCTTTCCACATTTCATTATAATACTTTGCTTTGTCTTCCTGTGCTGCCCTTTGAAATCTTCTATTCACTCCTTAATTTCTTGATTTCTTCCCTTTGCTTCATCTTCTCAGTGCTCTAGTGCAATATTCAGAGTTTCTTCTGACATCCATTTTGGTCTTTTCTTCTTCTGTCTTTGTAATGACCTTTTGCATTCTTCACGGGTGATATTCTTGATAGCCTCCCATAGCTCATCTGATCTTTGTTCATTAGTATTCAAGCCCTCAAACCTGTTCCTGAGTTGGTTTTTAAATGCAGATGGGACAGACTCATGGTTGAATATTGATTCCTGTGGATTTGATCTGACCTTCTTTAGCTTTAATTTGAACTTGTACGAGTTGTTGATGGTTGCAAAAGGTGAAACCAAACTCCGGTTCTCTTCAGAGCTCTGTGTTTTCGACACAGATCTGGGCCTGAAATGTGCCATCTGACCCAGCCTGGCTGGTTGTTAACAAGCTGATAGGGTCCTGGTAGAATAGGGGTACCTGAAGAGGATGGATTAGCCATTTTAGTAACAAAAATTTAAGGCATTATTTAAAATAGTTTTTCTACAATATTAATGGAAGATTCTGTTTACCACAGAGAAACAGCAATTCTAAATCTTTATGTAAAATTTTAGCTAAAAATTACAAAGAGAAAGAAATAGGTGTTCTATTGTGCTGACATAGATTAACATAGCTCAGTAAATCAGATCAGACAAAAATTCTCAATAAGGACACATATTTGAGTAATACAATAACAGAATTTGTCTAATGGAGATTAGGTACACATACAATCAAAAATTAGAGAATACACAGTCTTTTCAGCATGCATGAAGTAATTATTAAACTAACCAGACTCTAGGCTTTATAAGAAGGGTCAACAACCTTTAAAGATTTGGTGTCATGTACAATATTTTCAGACCATAGTACAGTTAAACAAAATAAGACAAAGTTACTCAATATTTGAAATTTAAAAGCATACTTCTAAATACTTCACAAGAAAGAAGAAATCATAAAGGAAAATATTAAATATTTAGAATAATAATAAAAGTATTACACAATAAGATATAGCTAAAAGAGTTCTTAAGGGGAAATATACAGCCTTTTGTGTTTATATTGGCAACAGGTGGTTGTTATTCTTGTTGTTAGGCGCTGCTGAGTATGACTTATAGTGACCCTGTAAACAACAGATCTGAACCCTGTCCTATTCTGTGCCATCTTCACGTTTCCTGACATACTCGAGTCCATCATATCAATCCACCGAGTCAAAGGTCTTCCTCTCCTCTGACCCTCCAACCTTTTCAAGCATCACGTCCCTCTCCAAGGAATAGCCCCTCCTAGCTGCACGCCCAAAGTCTGTGAGGCAAGGCCTCATCATCCTTGGCTTCAAAGAGCACTCTGGCTGCACACTATCCTAGACATATTTGAGTCATTTGCTGCAGCTCCTTTTGTCAATCTGTCTTGTTGAGGGTCTTCTGGTTTTGCTCTCTACTTCTCCATGCTTGATGTCCTTCTACAGGGACTGGTCCCTCCTGGTAACTTGTCCACATTATGTGAGACAGGGTCTCATTTAGCTGTACTTCTTCCAAGACAGATTTGGCCTTTTGGAAGCCCATGGGATATTCAGTATTTTTCACCAAAACCTTAATTCAGATACACCTATTCTTTGATTTTCCTTGTTCATTGTCCACCTTTCAAATGTTTTTGATGCAACTGAAAATACCACGACTTGGGTTAGGTGCACCTTAGACTTCACAGTGACATCTTTGGTTTAAAGACACTTTTAAAAAGATGTCTTTTGCAGAAGATTTTCTCAACGAAATGTGTCATTCGATTTCTTTTTTTTTATAATTTCATTTTAATTGTGTTTCCTAGAAAACTTTAAAGAATGCCAGTCTCCCACCCTCTATTTCAAATGAAGAGTGTTATTTTAGAGGGTAGAGTAGACCTGAAGGGTATGAGTGAGAACTCCAGTGCCATCTGCTGGCTACACTTGGAGCAATGAGCCCCAGAGTAACAGTAAAACTATGCTGTGCTAATTAGTACTGTTAGCTCTAGGTCTAAAACAGAAGATGTTAACAGTAGGGCTCACAAAACACAAATACAGCATAATGCCACTGTTATAAAACAGGACTGACATGGGGGTTGGGGAAAACTAAGAAAAGAGGGGATAAATAATGTACACAGCATTGAAATAGACGAGAGGGAGAGAGAGAACTGTATAAAATGAATATATGATTAGGTATTAGTGGCTTGACAAGAGTCCAGAAAAAGAGCTGCATAGTAAAGTGGACTGGGGAGGGGGGGAAATTGTACAACAATGAAAGATTTTTTTTTAAAGAGAAAAATGAACTGGGGAGGTAGGCAGGGAGGAAAATATGCAACAATGAATGAATGGAAATCCAAGTTCTCTATAAACTTTCATTAAAATCTCAATTTTTAAAAAAAGTAACAACAAAACCCTCCAAAACAAACAACCCAAAAGAACACTGAGCTAAATGTATGCTGTTAATAGATTAGACACAGCTTTTAGTAATTTGATTTCTTGACTGTTCTACAATTTACTGTGGATTCCAGTAAAATGAAATCCTTGACAAATTCAGTATTTTCACCATTTGTTACGGTGGTGTTTACTGATCCATTTGTGAGGATTTGTTTTATGTTGAGGTATAATCCATAGTGAAGTCTATAGCTTTGTCCGTTTTCAGTGTTTCAAGTTCTTTTTGCTTTCACAAAGCAAAGTTGTATTACATGCATATTGTGAGTTGTAAAGTGAGTCTTCAATCTTGATTCTACATTCTTCCATTATCTCAGCTACCTGCGGTTCAAAAGTGAGTTTCAGGATCTCTTCCGACATCCATTTTGATCTTTTCTTTGTTTCCTATCTTTTTAATGACCTTTTACTTTCTCTTATACAGTGTTATACCACGATTTATCTGAGCTCCAGGCATTAGTATTACATCTGTCAAATCTATTTTTTAAATAATCCATAAATTCAAGTGAAGTACATTCAAAGGCATACTTTAGTTCTCATGGCCTTCTTTCATTTTCTTCGGCTTCTACTTGATCTAGCACATGAATAGTTGATGTTTTATTCTGCAGTTGACTCCTGGTCTTACTGATGATACTGAACATCTCCAGCATCTTTTTCCACAGATGCACTCAAGCCCACTCCCATAAAGTCAGTCTCAGCTCTTAGCCACCTTATTTATATGATAAACGACTCCTTATAGTTTCTAAAGCAGTAAATCTAAGAGCAGAAAAACTGGTAAAGCCGACCTTTCAGCTCACTCTCTGTACCACCTGTGCGGTTCCTGCATGTTCTCTCTAGGGTGCTCTGGTGGCCGACTTTATAGAGTCATACTGCTAACACAATGGCCAGTCTTCTCTGGCAGTTCACATATATCAGCAGCTCTGCAAGAGAAAGATGGACAGCCTCCTCCTGTGCAGTTTACAGCAGTGGAAACTCAGTGGAGGGTCAGCTGTAAGTCACTTCCAACTCACCAATGAGTGAGTGTAATCAGTGTGGTCAGGTCCACATATAGTAGCTATTTAAATTGTTTTTAAAAAGATATTTGTGATGATGCATAGCTGGTCTTACAAAATTCTTTCAAGTGATTTTTAGGTTTGTTTCTTTAACCAAAGCTTTATTTTCTAGCTACTGATCCTCATTCTTTGTTTCCAACTTTCAAATTCCAATCACCAGTCGTTATCAATGCATTTGATTGCCGGTTTTTTAGCAGCTTTAGTCTGCATGTGTTGGTAAAAATGTTCAATTTCTTCTTATTTGGCATTAGTGATTGATGTGTAAGTTTTAAGAACAGTCACATTAACTGATATTCCTTGAGGTGCCCTATCACTGACAGAGTTGTACTTAAGAACAGATCTTGAACTGTTCTTTCTTGGAATTGTTCGATTCTGATGGCCAGTTTCCATGTCAGGTTACCAATCCTTATATATCAGTCTTTAGGCATTCCATTTCATTTTTTTATGACTTCCAGTTTTCCTAGATTGACACTTCATACACTTCAAGTTTTTATTATTAATGATAATCTATTGTTGTTTATCATTTTGAGTCATGCCACATCAGCAAATTAAGGTCCCAAAAGTTTTAATCTATCTATGCCACAGCTTTTCCCCAGTCATACTCAAGTGCCTTCAAACTTGAGAACTCATTTCTCAGCCTGTATCAGTCAACGAATTTTAAATACATACAATTTTATATAAGTTACTGCTAAGAAAACAAATAGATTCATCCTGAAGAGGGTTAAACCGGGCTGCTCCATGGAGTCAAGGATTCTGAGGCTTCGTCTGACATACTTTGGACATGTAAGGAGGGACAAGTCCTTGAAGAGGGACATCATGCTTGGGAGGGTAGAGAGACAGCACAGGAGGGGAAGGCCCTCTATCAGGTGGATTGATTCAGTGACTGGAGCAAATTGGGGTATGTGTATCGGAGACAGTGTGATTGGCACAAGACGGCGTTTAGGGCTGTTGTACATAGGGTCGCTATGAGCTGCAAGTGACTCAATGGCACATAACAACAATAACAACATATCCCATTTAAATATTTTGGGTAGCAAAGTCCATTCTCAGTACCTTAAATAGGTAAATTTAGTAAGCAAATGATTAAAGGATTGAATAGATAGGGTTTTTTAAAATGTTAATGAAAATCTTTTCTTCTCATAAAAGCAGTGAATACTCTGATTATGACATGACTTAACGAAATTTCTCTTTATTTTTTTCCTTTTTTCTCTACAGGGTTTATCCATGGCTAAGAGGATTGGGATATACATCCTTGGGTATATTTTTATTGGGATTTTTGTTATGGAACATAGATAACATTTTTTGTGACTCACTGAGGTAAGATATAATTTCATTCCTTGAAAAATATTTTAGAAGCATTTTGTTAATACAGAACTTTATAGGCATATAGAATTATTATTGCCTTAAAATTAATTTCTACCAATGTAAAGTGTTAAAATATATGTATTACAAAATAAAGTTAAATTCAGGGAATACCTATTTAAATTACCTAAGAATATTTCATAACATTTGTGGGATTTTAATTTTTTCCAGTTCAATATAGCATTACCTAGTTAATCAGATATTATATAGGTGTTTGAAACCTGTCTGATCTGCTTTATTGAATAAATAAAAATAAATTCAAATAAATAAGTGAAATAAGTGTATATAAGTATATACTCTGATATTCTTAATGCTGTTTTCCTAGAAAGTTAAACATTTCTTTTACCATCTTGTTAGCAATTTTGTTTTGGCAAGAGTTTTGATATATCTAGGTCTCTGGTCTGTAGTCTGCCACTAAAGCGAGTTAATCTACCAAGGCCTCAATTCCCTTCCATAATAAAAAAGTGTCCAACAGATTAACAATCCTTCCAGCTCAAAATCCTGTAACATAGAGAAGCAATCAGCAAAATCAGCAGACTATAGGAAATATAAGACAAACAAAAATATTTAGGCATAAAATGATACATTGTTTGGAATTTGCTTTAAAATAATCAAGTTTAGGCATGTGATATGTAGGAAAAAAGATCTGTCATGAAATGATAACTTTTAAATATGACTGTTTGGTAAGTACACTGAGTTATATTATTATACTCTCTTCTCTACTTCAGTGCTTGAAGTTTTTCTGTAATAAAATGTTTAAAATGAAAAAATTTTAAATGTCAACAACAATGAATCTACTTAACAGTTTATAAAGTTCTTCTACATATAGAGTCACTTTTTAGTAGTCTCATATTTTTAAAAGTTAACTCTCTGCAAACTAATAAATTTTTAAAAGTAGATTGTTGTCCTGTAAAACAATATATCTAAGTGTGGTATTAACATATTTGAAAAACAGTAATATTGTGATTTATATGTAGACTTTAATACAAAATATAGCTGCAATAAAATAATCTGGAGTTTGCTTCAACATAATGAGGAGAAAGTGTAGAAGACACAAGATTGGCCATACTGTTGTTTACTGTTGAATCAGAACTTTTCCATAGCTGACCCTCCAGTGGGTTTTCAGAGGCAGTTAATCTCAAGGGAGAAGAATACTGTCTACCTTCTCCTGTGGAGCAGCTGGTGGATTCAAACCCTACAACTTTGGGATTGTAGAACAGCCTCTTACCACTAGGCCCCTGGAGCTCAACACTTGCCATAGGTAGACAATTATTTAGGCTGGGTAATGGGTACTTTATTATTTTGTCTTTTTTTTTCCTTCACATATTTGAAATTTCTTATAATAAAAGAAAATGTAGACAAAGACGTAATACAGCTGACTTCAAAACTAAGATGTAAGGAAACTTTTGCCCTGATTGTCATCATCTCCTCAGTGAAAACAGCCTAAGGAACAAAACAAAATCTCAGAGGTAGTAATTTTCCTGAAAAAGAAAAAAACATCTTAGGGCTGTCTAGAAAAATAATTTGGTATTTAATGTCATTTTTTTTCTCCTCTAATAAATGAGAATATTAATTTTACACAATCCAAAACTCAGAGGTGCCACTAGCAAGTGATTTAGACAACCCCATTAATCTCTCTGGATTCTCTATTCCTGAACTTTAAACAATGCTAACAATAGCCTTCTCAAAGAATCAATGACTATGAAGTGAAATAATAGGTACAAAAGGACTTTACAGAAAAACAATGTGTACAAACTTTGTAAATAAACGAATATTTTTTTTTAAAAAGGGACTTGACAGCAGGATCTCTGGTGGCCTAGTGGTAAGAAACTACACTGCGGTCCCAAAGGCACAAGGTTCAAATCCACCAGCTGCTCTGCAGGAGAAGGATGGATAGTCGTCATTCCCCCCCCCCCCATGATTTATTGTCTCTGAAAACCTACTGGAGGGTCAGCTAGGTGTTGGTTTATGTTGCTTTATTAGGGCAACAGTTGTAAATAGGGAACAAGAGTTCCATTGACTGGTAAGCTACTTATAAAAGTGTTTTATTTATAAGATGATCTTTCACAGCAATAAAGTATGTACTTTTCTCACATTTATTTGATCACAGTCTTTTCTCCATAGAACTTTGCTAAGAATACTCGCAGATTACACTTTGGAAAACAATACCAAAGACTAATTTTCTTAAGGAGACTTGGGACAATTAAATAACTGCTATATTTGAGAACAACTGCTTTTTAAAATCCTCCAAAACTATCGACATTAGTTGTTATGAAAAATCTAAATTGGGATTTTATTTTATGTGTCTTTCTCTACATAGGAACTTTCGAAAGAGGATGCCACCCATTCTAAATGTGTTCACACAGTTTCACGCATGGTGGCACATTTTAACTGGTCTTGGTTCTTACCTTCACATCCTTTTCAGGTAGGAAGTGGAGACTGTCTTAGCCTTGTGTTGGTAGACTTTGCTTTGCTCTTCAAATAGGATGGTAAGAAAAATGATGACATAAAAAAGCTGAAAATGCTTTCTGTGGACAGCTCAACAAAAAAAAATGAAATATTATAACAAAATATACAAAGGTCTTTATTAAAATACAAAACACTTCTAGAGATAAGAGTTGTGTGATCCAGAAATTCAGCACTTGGGTCAAGTCAGACAGCTAGAAGAATGGTCATAAATATGAAGTGTAGTACCGTTTCCATCAGTAGTGCTGGCCGCTTTCCTATGTAAGAGTTGAGATTCCAGAACCTTAGTAGACAAGGCCTATATAACCCTCAACACAAAGAGAAATCAACCTTTGGAAAATTGAGTTTAAACAGATCTACCTCAGCTATATCTGAAAGAAAAATCTTGTTTGGAAAAAAGCTGTTATCAAGTCAAGTCCAACTCATAGAAACCCTGTGAACAACAGTTCTGAATCCTGTCCTATCACACAATCTCTAACACACTCGAACCCATTGCTGTAGTCATAGTGTCAATCTCTCTGGCTGAAGGTCTTCCTCTATTTTGCCAACCGTTCACCTTTCCAAGTATGCTGTCCCTCTCCAAGGAATAGCCTCTCCTAGCAACATGTTCAAAGTTTGTGAGACAAAGCTTTATCACCTTTGCCTCCTAGGAGCACTCTCGCTACACCTTCTCCAAAACATGTCTGCCCAAATTCTGCCAGTCCTTCAAATCATTTCCAACCTACGATGATCCCATGTGTTACAGAGTAGAACTGCCCCACGGTTTTACTTCATGATACTCCTTACTGAAGTAGATTGCCATGCATGTCTTCTGTGACACCACTGTATGGATCTGAATCATAAAATGCTACAGCATTTTAAAATTGAGAAGAATAGTCTAATTAAACATTCTGGCCCCAGACTCTTAGATCTAAATGTTAGGGGGGACATCTAAGAGTGTTATTTTGTGGGTCATATATATCTAGCAATATTTGCCATATTAGAAATTAAAACAGAAATTTTAAAAGTAGTTTTATATGCAACTTAATAAGCCAAATAGTAACAAAAATAATGTCTTTAACCTAAAAAACTTATTTCCAGCAACAGTTATTTCAGTTGGAAAAGCTACATTATTCTATAGTTTCACAAATCTCTAGTGTCTGGCTAATTTGAAGATAGCTACAGGCTCATCTGCTTCTGCAGTCTTGTAAGATCATATGCATATAGCCTCTAGAAAACTCTGGTGTACCTCCATAGTAGGTGGAATATGAAAAAGACAAATAATGTCATGTTGTTGTTATTTTAAAAAAAACAAATTACTGCCCAGACCCCTAGATCACATTCTGAGAATAACTTTTAAAGTCTGTCAGGCTTTCCTGGGGCAGGGTGTGAGAGAAGCTCTGACAGAAGTATAGGGAACTTTTGGGAATTATGGAAATGTTCTGTACCTTGACTGTGGTAAAGACTCCACTATCCAAGCTCAACAAACTGTGTGCCTTAAACAGGTCCCTTTTTATTATAAGCAATTTTATATCAACCAAGTTGATTTAAATAAATGGTCAATCATAAAATTTTTTTAAAAACAAAAGCCCAAAACACTTTTAAACATTTCTCAAGCTGAAAGACGAAGAGAAAATTCATGTCTCAAGTGTTAAAAATTTAATGACACAGGAAGCATCAGAAGACGGAAAGACAACCGTCGGTCTCCACTGAACTATTAACAAAAAGAAAGATCCCCAAAACACAAAGAAGAAACTAGTCTACAGGACAGTGTACACAAATCATGACCTCGTCTACTCTGAGACCAAAAGAAATAGATGTTGCTCATCTACCAGTACCAATCATTCTTAGTATGGCTGCAGTAAAATGAGAGAAAAATGTAGAATAGACCTTCAAATCTCCATAGAAACCAGAACCAGATTTGCTGGACCAGTTGCTGGACAGAGGACTCCGGAGATTATAATCTCCAAACCTTGAACCAAAACTAACCTTTGAGATAGTGGTGTGGCTAATCACAAATTGACTCAAAAAGACAAAACAACACTATTAATATCACCTGTAAGTACTGTTCTAGCTTTAAAAATCACTTATGTGAATATAAACAGTCAGCAGTTACTTTAAAACAAAGCTGAGAATGTAAAGGACAGGGAGACAGATGAATGTAAATAGAACCACCAAAATAAAAATGATGAAAAGTGCAACAGTGAATGACTGGAAACCCTAAGTCTTTGTAAACTTTCATTAAAATTAATTTTTAAAAAAAATAAAAAATTACGAGAATGTTCGTTCATTGTGATGAATCTAGCCAATGTTACTGAACAACTTGGGTAGAAATTGTTGAATGGTCACCTAATTGATGTAACTATTGACCAAAATCACAGTAAAATATTGTTTTAAGTTCCATGGAGAAGATGAAAGGAATACAAGCAGTAACTGAACTGACATTCATCCGTTTCAGGAAGTAGCACATGATCAAGAACCAGGGTCCTGAAGGACACATTCAAGCTACCTTCAAAGCACTGGCAAAGATCAAGGCCCAAGAAATGGATGGAAGACCAGCTGAGATTCAGCATATTGGTACAAAGCTGGAAATGATTATTCATTTATGTCACAAAATTTGGAAGACAGCTACCCATCTAGCCAGCCAACTAGTAGATATTTATATTTATGCTCCTTTCGAAGAAAGATAATCAATTGGAATGCAGAAATTATCCAACCATATCAGTATTAGCACTTACTAATAAGATCTTGCTGAAGATAATTAAAGAATAGCTGTAGCCATATCTAGATAAGGAGCCGCCAGAAGTTCAAGCTTTATTAAAGATAGAATGAAAGATATTATTGCTGATGTCAGATGGACCTTAACCAAAAGCAGAGAATACTAGAATTTACCTGTGTTTTATTGACTGTGCAAAGGCATTTTGCCATACAGATGAGAGCAAATTATGGATATAACATTTTGAAGAACAAGAATTTTACAACTCTGTGCGAACCCATGCACAGACCAAGTGGCAATTGTTCAGAAAGAGCAAGGGGATACTTCGTGGTTCAAAGTTAGAGAAGGTATATGGCAGGATTTTATGTATTTATTTATTCATACTGTATGCTGAAACATAATCCAAGAAGCAGGTTTATATGAAGAACAAGGCATGAGACTGGAAGAAGATTCATTAGCAACCTTGCCAGGGCTGTCAATGGTCTCAGGGTAATGAGCCTTCCTGCCTGTTTAGCCAACCTCCCTCAAAAGCAGAATTGTAGAGAACCAAGCAGCAGGGTCTTTTATGACCTAGAACTCACAATACTACTGAAGATCATCCAGAAATGGCTGGGACAGTAAGTACATCAAAAGGGAACTGCCAGAGGTTCAAGCTGAGTTTAAAAGAGGCTGTGTAATCAGGGATATCATTGCTAATGCCAGATGGATGCTGGCTACCAGAAGAATGTCTATCTGTGTTTTATTGGCTATTCAAAGGCATTTGATTGTGTGGATCACAACTATGGCTGACATTGAGAATAATGGGAATCCCAGAACACTTAATTGTGCTCATACGAAATCACGAAGCTGTTGTCTGAGTGGAACAAGGGAACACTGTATAGCTTAAAATCAAGACGGGGGTGTGGTGGGGTTGTCACCTTTCTCCATACCTATTCACTTGGCAAATAATTTATGAAGCCAGCTCTCTGAAGAATGTGGCATAAGGATTGGAGGAAGACTCATCAATGACTTGTGTCATGCAGATGACACAACCTTGCTTGCTGACAATGAGGAGGAGCTGAAGCCTGTTTCAGAGGATCAAAAACTACAGGCTTTGATATGGATTACATCTCAACATCAAGCAAACTAAGGTCCTTACCACTGGGCCAGTAGACAATACCATAATAGATGGGGAAAGGAATGAAACTGTCCAAGATTTCATCTTGGGTCCACAATCAAAACCCTTGGTACCTACCATCAGTCAGAAGACATATTGCATGGGGCAAGTCTGCTGTCAGTGACTTCTCCAAAATACTGAAGAGCAGTGATGTCAGTTTGAAGACTAAGGTGAACCTAATTCAGCCCATGTTCTTTTCAATTACTTGCTATGCTTCTGAGAGCTAGACGAGTAAGGATGACAGAAGAAGAACTGAAGCTTTGAGCTGTGTTAGGAAAAGAATACTGAATATCCCATGAACTGCCAAAAGAGCGAACACGTATGTGAAAGGTGCTCTATGGTGGCAAGGATGGCGAAGCTTTGCCTTTCCTACTTCAGACCATGTTGCTAGGAAAGGCTCTTCCTTGGAAGGGGAGAACATGCTTGGAAAGGTTGAGGATCAGCAAAAGAAAGGAAGGCCCAACGAGGTAGACTGACACAGTGACTGCAGCAATGGGCTCAACTGTAGCAGAGATGAAGATGCCACAGGATAGGACGGTTCAGGTCTCCTGTCCACAGGGTTACTATGAGTTGTACTCAACACCACCTAACAACAACAAAGCTGATTTTCTGTTTCCTGCCTAGTTATATCATACCTGTACACTAATCCTTGTATCGTTGATAGACACATTTCCAAAGTATTTATGCATATTTTTATAGTATTTATGCCTATTTTTATAATATTTATGCATATTTATATAATGCTTATATCTATATATGATATTTTATAATAATCTGTTTATATCTACTTATGTTTTCTATATCACCAAAGATATAATTGTTAATCATGATATCAAGGATTAATCATTATATCAAGGATTGTATAAAAGTATTACCTACTATCTACACAAATCTGGCCATCACAGTCTATGAATTGATTGCTTACATGTCTTCCTTTACATCTTGACAGATGTTTTCTGCTCAGAGTAGGTACTCAGAAAATAAATAAATAAAAATTGTTGCTGATTGAACAAAGGATGTATCAGTGTTTCTCTTTCTTTGTTATATACTGATGCTCTATGCTTAAATTTGTTGGTAGGCCATTTACATGGATTAAAAATTAGTCTGAAGATTTTTCCCCCTCCTCTTTTTCTTTCAGTTTATATACAAGAACACTTTACCTAAGATACAGGCCAAAAGTGAAGGTAAGTCTACCTCCTAAGCTTATGGAGGCAGGTAGCTGAAGGACTGTTAGGAGGATGGGATGGAGGTAGGAGAACAGCAGGAAGGTGAAGCCGTACCAGATAGAATAAACCTTGGACCAGAAGGCACTGACCCTTAACTCCATTTATTTGCTGCATTAACTTAGACCTAGTCTCTTGCCTTAGTATCTTCATCAATAAAATGAACCTGTTACATGGAAACACCATAAATGTCAATGAATTGTTCACATGAAAATGATGGAAATGCCAAACATTATATATATTCTACAATATTCTCAGTTAAAAAGAACACAGAGCTGTAAATAGCTATAATAAAGAAATGTTTTAAGCCTTAGATATATTTTAGTGCTTGGCCCAGGACTTAATAAAGTAGATGTTTAGTGCATTTAAAGAATTTAAATAATAATTCCTATGATATGGTAGAAATATGGATTGTTTTGTTTTGACTACTTGCTTTGCTCACGTGACTAATCCCAGCTATCACTTGCAGACCCACCAAGCACTGCCTGGGCTCTGTTGCAGGAATAATGTGGACCCATATTACCTTCACTCATTTTGTCCTTACTTGTTTCCTAAACAGTTTCTTCTTGGAATCTGGCCAGTGATCCAACTTGAGCCTCTCAGGAAGCACTGATTATCCTGCCATTAAAACTAACAACAACAACAAAACTCCCACCTCCCATCGACTTGGCGGAACGAATGAGGATATTATTAAAGATCTAATATCATGACCACTACAGCAAAGGAGTGACTTTCTAATGCTGCTAGCCATCCAGACAATGAGGAGTGGAGCCTGTTGGGTGTATAACTCTCATCTTTATCTCATTTCCCCTCCTGTTCTTACCCTAAATGTTTAAAAAGTAACAGATATGATGTGTGTGTGTGTGTGTGTGTGTGTGTGTATGCAAATTCTTTTTAAAAATGGGCAAATTTTTCCACATAGGTTAACAGTTAGTTTTGGTTATAGGAAATTAACTTTTCTTTTTGACAAAGGTTGCATGTGAACTATATAACTTTCCTCTAAGAATTGAAATGCATATTAAATAATGAAAGTAGTCAGCCAAAGACTGGCAAAACCCCATGTCCCGATGGTCAACTGGGAGCCAGCTCTTAGCTGGGTCAGCAATGATTGATAGTATTGTCAAATTAACTTCATGAGTACTTTCCAAGTTTGCAAAAAGGGCTGGCTGTGGGTTCTGGGTAGGTTTTTTCATTGTCTGCCGGTGTCTACTCATAAACTGAGACCTGCCATTGAGTTCTAAGCTTTTCCTGTGCCAAGATTTGCAGTAGACTCTGGTCTGGGGGTGGCCAAAGCCAATCAGAGTGGTGGTCACCTTGTAACCTTTCTGGAGGTCCACAAGGAGACCTCCAAAATGTTTTGCTTCCAGCCAGTTAATGGTGGTTGCTCTGTTTCATTAGATCTTTGTGGATCTTTACTGTGTCACTTTTTATGACTAGGCAAATATGACTGGCGATCTAGCCTACAGTATTCCATTCACCTAGCATAACTTATTTACAGTTACCAGTGAATTATACTCTGAGGTGTTCAAGTTATGCACTTTTTTTTATTTCTCAGATACCATGATAATGCCCAAGAAAGTTTATCAAGTTAACTAGAAGTAATTAAAGTGGATGCTGTTTATTTAAAACTACTGAAATAGCTGTCATTTCCTTTTTTGAAAAGAAATAAATATGAGAACTGTTTTCTTTCACATGTCATTTACACAAGCCCTAAATATTAAAGGGCCAAGAAATGGCAGTAAAATCTTACTGTAAAAACACACTAGCTCTAATTCGAATTTGATTGTGTAACAAATTTAATCCCTTTTCACCCACATAACACGCGCCTGAAATAATATCACAGTATGTGCTGCTCTGCACCATTTAGCATGTGTGTAACTTTTCTCCTGCTTTCTACACTATGTTGATATCCATACATATTTTATTCTACGGTAATACTAACCTTTTTAACCAGTTGTTTGGAGCCAGTTACAACTTAAGGCCACACCATGTGTTTGAGAGTAGAACTGTACTTTATAGTGTTTTCACTGGCTGTGATCTTCCAGAAATCCTTGGACGTTTCTTCCAAGGTACTTCTAGGTTCAGTTAACAGCTGAACACGCGACAGTCTGCAGCACCAGACCTAACCCCCAAACACACTGCCACCAAGTAGATTCCGACTCAGGCTGACCCTGTAGATACAGAGCTACCTGGAGATTTCCCAAGGCTTTATAATCGGCCACATTTTTCTTCCATGGAGAGGCTGGTAAGTTCAACCCACCAACCTTTCAGTTAACAGTTGAACACTTAAATCACAGTGTCACTATTTTGAATCCTGAGCTGCTGCTTAAAAGAAAATCCTTTTTTTTATAAAAGTGAAGATGGTAAAGTATCTCTGTCATTTTTCTAATAGTTTGTACATATTAAAACCAAAAGAGCTTTTGTCATTTTTCCTCACCTAATAAAAGGAGCTCCCAACCTAAACACAGGCATTTCGAATCTACCAGCAGCTCCTCACAGTCTCCACCTGGCAAGTTACAGCCTCCGAAAGCCCTCTGGGGGCAGCTATGAGTCAGCTCCACCTGGACAGCAGAGTGGGGTAACTGGCTTAGCATTAGCCTTCCAGGGCTCCGGTGCTGCCTCCTGCTGCTCGCGTGCCAACCTGTCATTAGACACACACACACACACACATATCCCTTCTCCTTCACCTACTCTGATGATCAGCAGAAAAACACACTTGCCAAAACATAAATGGATGAGAACTTTTATGGTTGGTCTCTTACAGTCTTAGAATATAAACAAAAGAATTCAAGTGTATTATCCATGAGATTATCCTTCTCTCCCCACCTCCACCCCATTAGAAGAACCTAACTTCTAGCTACATTCCACCTACACTGACATAGGCTATTAACCACAGCACACGTTTTAAAGTTTGTTTCATCCCATGCTTTCTGCACATTTCATTTATCTATACTTCTGCATAAAGAAACCTACCTGTAGAAATGGACATCCTTCACCACAGTGCATTGTAAGACCCAGGCTTTACAGGACTAGCAGGTAAAGTGCAAGGGAGCACACTCCCTATAAACTGCATTTATAGCAGTTCATCCAGTGAGCAGGACAGCGCCGTCACCAGCGGTTACGTTAACAAGCGCAGGAGAGGCACCTGCATCCCTGGAGAACATGCGATGTTTTGGCCAGTTCTTCAAAGACTCTTGCCTTTGGTGTGAGCATGAAAAGTTGAGCATAAAGCATTTTAGAAATGGTTAAGCACAAAACAGCTTAAAGTCAGCCCCTCATTTTCCAAGTCAGTCATGCCTCACATTTCATTGTTTATTATCTGAGACATAACAAGTGTAAACCTTTCTAAGATTTTTTTTTCATCTAGATTTATTCTCCAACAGGCAGATAGCATCAGCAGGTACAACTAGAGGGATTACTCCATGCATTATAGATTCAAAAAAGGCATTGTTAGCATACAGTCCCGGGTGTGTTCGCCATAACAATATTCACTTCGGTATAAACAGTATGATTATTGCAGTTACAATTCCAGAAGGAAAGGCACAACTTGGCAAAGCAAACACAAAACAACAGACGTACACAGGAAAGGGAAACTTGGATCCTAGAAGGTCAGGTGCAATTAATTAGACTTTTGTAACAGCACCTGTCACCATTGCCTTCATGGAGGGCAAAGAATCCTCTGCCCTCAAAATTAGAGTTTTTAAATTCTTCTTCCTCATTAAACCAAGACAAAGATTTATAGTTTACATAGTATCACATGTAGTACAAAAGGAGATTTTCTTTAAAAACCCATCTCCAAACTTTCTAAGATTTTGAGTGAGCCTTGAAAGTCTGAAATACCTTGCTCCCATTCCTTTGTTTTTTTTGGAAAACTTTCTGTTCAACTAGATATAAAAAGCCTGTTCCTGCTGAGCAAATAATGTTTTGTTTACAAGTCACCTGATGTTGAAGGGTGCTCGTCAGGAAGCCCTAAGGCAAGTTATACATTAGAAAACATTAGTACTTGGTGAGGATGTCAAAGAAACAATTTGCTTGCACATTTTAACACTATTTTATGCTATTTTAACTCTGGAAAATGTAAAGTTTTTTGTTTTGTTTTGTTTTGTTTTGTTTTGAAGGCAAGCTAGGTGGAAAATGCTTAGATCAGATTGATTGCTCAGTTCTCTGCTTCTCCCCTCCCCATTCTTTCAGTGAAACACCACCACCACCTGAAGTAATTGCTTTGATTCTTGTGATGTGACAGAAATTTCTGACTGATGAAAAAAAAATGATAGTGTTTGAGTAATCTACAAGTTAGAACCCCAAATAATGGTATTTGGGCTAAAAGAAGTAGATCAAACATGAGGGTTAGTCAGAAAGCAGTATTTCCAAGACTGCTAGTGTGGGTTTTTCTTAAACTGACGGTTCCCCTTTACCAAAGAGAAGAGACATGGGTCAAAGTTAAAATATTAAAAACTCCAGAGACATAACACATATTTTAAAATATGCCTGAAAAACTTAAGTTATATTATCTTCAGAACCTTCAGAATTTGGCCAAGGTAAACTTAAAATGTCTATTAATTTAGTTTAAGATTTTCAAGGGTCCCATGAACCCATTATTACTTTTCTCTTGTAAAAAAAGGAATATAAGATCCTTTGTTGCTAATTTTGACCATTCTCATTCATTCTCAGCGTCACATCTCAACTTCCATCCACATGATGGAAAGCTTGCTTTTGGCCTGTGGTTTATGATGTTCTACTGGGAAAGCTTTAAATAATGTTGGAATTACGAACTAAACTTGGTTAAGAGTAGTTAAATCCTTTTATGGAAAAGAGATGTAAAATGGGGGGGGGGAGAAGCACTGTGACTCATCTGACTGGAAGACTGTGATGCATTTTTTAAAAAAAAATATGGTGGGGAAGAAACCTTTCTAGTTGTTTGGTTTTTATTTTGACTTAAATGTCTGTAACTGTTGAACATCTGGGCTACCTAGGGGAAACGGCTTTTGTTGCTGAGGTCTGTGTGAACATAGCACTGGACTTAACCATAGTTTCTCCAAAACTGCAGCCCAGCTGGCTCTATGTGCCCAGGTGAAAATACAACTTCACTCAAAATTCAAAACTAAAGATAAAATTCTGGCCTTGGGCTATCACTTTTAGCCTGCAGTTATAAAAACGTGCTACAGTTGAGAAAAGTAGGAACTTTAAGGAGTAACAATGTTCATCCAGTCTAGTTCCTTCTGGCAGGCAATTAGAGCAGCTGAGGAAGGAGGCAATCACTGAGCTCAAATTGAACCTGTATTAGCTGCAGCGGCTCTGTTGCTGTTGAGACTGTGGACCATTCGGACTAAAAGCTAAGCAGCAAAGACTCCACAATTTTAATCTCAGGTTATTGCACAAAGCCGCCTTTTTATTAAGTCCAGTAAATTATAACTTTTTGATTGGTAGATAGTATAGAAAATGATTGATCACAAGAAGATTTCATATAATACCTTAAAATCTGGCTCAAGAAATTCAGTTATAAGCCTGCAAGTGGCCCAAGATGTGTTCATTCTCAGCTCAGCAGCTGTCAGTCAGTATTCTAGGACTAAACACAGGTCACGCTTTGCTCCACTGACAGCTCTTTTATAATCC